ACCGAGGCTTTGAGAGATTTAATCCACTCAAGGTCATATAGATAGTAGCTGTCTATCAATTTTGTCCCAGGTACTTGGAACAATAGCCCAGAATTTTTTTTGCATTATTTTAGCAGCTACTGAGCACCTTCTGGGGGATAATTGTCACTCACTCCCTTATTCAGAAGACATGTAGCGGTGCCTACTGCTCACTCAGCCTTGAGCTGAGTCCCAGGGGCCCAGAGATGCATAAGGGAGGTCGTGGACCTTGAGAGACTCACAAACAGGCGGCTAGCGGCAGTCGCACACTCACGGCCAATGGGCTAGGTCACAGCCAGGCTGCAGATCATTTTGTTTGGGCCATATGAAGTTTCTGAAATCAGTAGATTTTATATAAAGATACAAATTCCTGGCTTCTTCTAAAAACAGGAAGATCTGGCAACGCGGGGCCTACATTTCCATCTTGACTCGCAGCTTTCCTTGGGGTGCAAAGCATTGAACTTCCCCAGTCACCGCAGTCTCCAGTGGCCCGATTCTCATTTATGTGCCTTGCCTGGCCCACGAGGTGGCTGGATTTCCAACCCTTGGATTAGAGCAGAGGGAAGGAGTTAGATGTGCTTGGGACGCTGTTTGATGTTGGGGGAGGTTATTTAAGCCGTGGGGACAGGGGAAACGATGCCGAAATGAAGGCTGTGGCCTCTTCCTGGAGAGCCTTGGATTATATGCCCGAGTGAGCGTGGTCTGGAGAGTGCGACAAGTTCACAGAGAGAGAGAGGAGAGAGGAGAGGGAAAGGCTGCGAGAGATAAATATTGAGTGTGCTGCAAATCAATCAATGGTACGTGTTTGTCGAATGAACGAATAATGAATGAACATACAAAGAATGCAGGAGGAGGCAGCCAGCCTCAAGTGTCCATTGGTGGCGGCCTGGATGAAGCTTTTAAACTCATACTTTGCAGTGTGGTACATAACAGAGGATTGCCCAGGGTGGGCTGGGGTACAGGAGTGTGTGATGCCCCCACCCCAGGCAGGACATTGAGGAGGACCCATTTCTGCAGGGACCATTATGTCTCCATTACACTAACCCATCTCCCCAAATTCCAGGACCCTTTTCTGTCTCTTCCCAGAAAGTGTCTGTTTCCCTCCCCTCTATCTTCCCCAACCAGCCCAAATGAACCCCAGGAATTCCAGAGTCTCCCCAGGTTTGGGTAAGGAGGGGGCTTAAAGCTGACAGTTGGGCCAGAAAGGAGGACAGATGCCAGCCACTTCAGGTGCTTCTTAGAGATGAGAAAACTGAGGGCCAGGAAAAGGCACACCTTGCCCACAGTCAGTGGCTCAGGGCTGGTGGTCTCTAAGCAAGAACTGTCCCCAAACGAAAGAACGCAGGCCTGGGCCATGCTCCAGGAGGGGGCGAGACGACCCACTTCTCCGTTTCCCTTCACCTAGGCACTCTGTGGACGAGCTCCTTCGCTCAAGTGACAGAATGGGGACAGAATGGGGACCAGCTGAGGCATGAGAGAACAATGAGCCTTTCCCAAGCCTCTCTGATGTTCCCAGAGGTGACCGCCTTTCATTTAATCCTTAAAGAGCCTTTGAAAGTCGGGGGTTATTGGCCCATGAAACAGGTTTAAAGAGTTTAGTAACTTACCCACAGTAAATCACACAGGTAATAAGTGGCAGAATCAGGACTTGAACTTAGGTCTACGTGATCCATCAAACGCTCTATCCATCAGTTAAGGAAGATCCCTCCCACACCTCAGGTCTGTGCCACCCTCCTGGCCTCGAACCATCTTCCCACCTCATCTCTCCAATGGACAACTGGGTTGTATCATTCAGAGCTTGGCTTAGCCACCCCTCAAAGAGGCCTCCCTGACCACCAAAATCTAAAGGAGCCCCACCCCTTTACCATCCCACCTTCGTAGCCTTCACCCTTATCTTATTTCTTAATTAATTTACCCCCCCTCCCGCTTCATTGGTAGCTACTTGAGAGGTGGAACTTTGTCTTGTACCCAAGTATCCCTGGGCCTAAAGAGTCACTAAATATTTGATGATGAGTGAATGAATGAATGAACGGACCTGCTGCTTAGCTTAAAAGGCCAGTCAAGAAAAAAGTGGTTTTACGGTATTTTCCTCAGCAGAGAGGTTTTGTCCACGGTGGTGCTAGCAACTAGGAACCCTTTGTCCTCGGGAGGAAAGAGAAGCAGACGCTCGCGTTGGCCCCAGAGGCTGCTCTCCAAATGGGCTTGGCCTGCAGAGCTCCAGGGAAGTCCCCAGAGGTGGGCAGCCCTCCCACCTGCTCCCCAGAATGCGACCTGCGGAGAAAAACAGCCGGGAGTGACCTGGATGCACCGGGCCGGCAGGGGAGGTGTGGGAAAGCGAGGCGGCCGGCGCTGGGCGGGGCCACCCCGTGTGGCCCGGGCTTTGTTTGCATCTGTGTATGGCAACCAGAAACCGCCACGGCCAGCGCTTCTCACGGCCGCCTCCCGCACCCCGCCCCCCTGCATTTTAATCTCCTAAACTGATTTGTCAGCAGCAGGAAGTGACATGACAGCTTTCCTCACAAAAGGGGAACTCCTCCGCGTTACCATGGGGATGGAGGCCACTGTATGATCACAGATTTATATAATCTTAAAGGTGTACACACACACGATGGCATCCCTCGACGGGCGTGGGAGGGAGGGCGGGAAATGGACGCCGGAGGCTGCAAGTTCAAGGCAAATTAGCTATGATTTGTAAATTTCCAAGGAAAGGAGAGGATGCTGTGGAGGCGGTTGGAGTTAGAAGTATCCTAATGGGATAATGGGTACCTGGAAACCACAAAAAGCACACCGTAGGCATCGATGCATTTTCTTCGTTTTAGAATTCGAGTGCTGGGAGGAGCCTTACCCATTAGATCCAGTGCAAATTGGTCATTTTATGGCTGGGAAAACTGAGACGGAGGACGGCAGCGGTCACCAGGAGAGGAGGAAAGAGTCTAAGTGTTTCTCCAGGGCCCACTCCCTGCCAGGTGCTGACATTCATGAACCCATCTCCTCCAGATGTGAAAACTGAGGCCCCAATGGATAAATAACTTTCCGCTCCAAAATTATGTGGTAAGACCATGGCGACGCCCGGTTGGCTACAAAGCTCATCTTTTCCCCACTCGCTCAAGCTATCTTTTGGACTCAAATAGGACTTTGGTCCCCACACTTCTTACAGACCCAGGTTCCAGACTCTCCAATGTCCTTTACTTGCCATATGACCTTGAACTAGAATTAGAAGACTGTCATTTAACCTCTCTGAGCCTCAGTTTCCTCCTCCGTACAATAGGTGTTGCTGTAAAAAGTTTAACGCCAAGGCATGCAAAGCAGTCAGCACAGCGGTTGGCACACGGTGCCAGCTCTGAAATTGACAGCTGCTATTACCACATCATCAGTATTAAACGATTGAGTTGTCTCTATTTCAATCTTCCACTGAGAATCAAACATTTTAATAGCTTCAGTATCTTTCTCTTCATTGTAACCTCCCCCACCCCATCCCCCACAAGAAGGAGACTATCATGCTGGCTCTTCCTGGCTGGCGGGAGGTGGAGTGGCTTGTGCCAGAAGTGAGTGAATTGTTTTCACTGGAGGCTCCCTTAGGCAGCCGCTGTATTTTTCCACTGCGTGGATCGCACTGGAGATTAATTTTGGTTCAGCCAGGGCCAGCCAAACAGAAAGGAATGGCCCGAGCCCATGGGGAAGTCAGCCATGGCATCTGCCATGGACGTGAAGCCACTAGTACATTTCCACGAAGGGAGATATTGGCAATAGTAAATTTCTAGTGTTTGATAAAAACACTGGGTACGGTTTGTTTTGAAAGGCAGGAACACGCTTGCAATCAGAAGCCCAACGGAGGAAATGTGCTTGCCAGCCCAGGGTTAGTTCTTAGAGCTTAGAATACAGGGATCTTTTAGGCCCTGGGAGTCAGATGGCAGATGGTGAACCAGGGAAGACAGGTCAAGGACACTAATTCTGTATCAAGGCCTTGGACAAGGACCATTACTGAGTGCTACTGGAGAAGTCAAGAAGGATGTTTTTGTTTTTTTTTTTCCTGCTTCCTACAATACCTGGTCCAGAAACAAGTCACGGGGGCAGGAGCTAAGGGGTCAGTAACCCTTAGAGTTCCACTGTTATTTATTGCAACATTATAGACTGAATCGTGGGTTGTTGGTCAATGACACCTTCTCTGTTTTGGCCTGTTTGGCAAGAGAGAGTAAAAACCCAGACTATTGCCATAGAGCAAATTAGATGTAACTGTCTCTCTACTTCAACAAAACTATGAAATCAGAGCAGCAAGTTGCCTGGAGGCAGCTTCCAAAAATGCTGTGTACAGAGGCAGAGGTGCCGGCTTGGATATGCTCCAAAATATTCATAAAGGTCAGGGGAGGGTTTCAGGTGACTTGTTGATGTTGTATTTGCGTATAGTGCTTGGGTTTTTAGCCATCCAGGTTATTACTTTCACACACACCAAAAATCAAGGTCTTTTCAAAAGCAAAAAGAAAACACGCGAGACAGCCCAGTGCAAAGCACACAGGATTCGAAAAGCAGGTGGGCCCGGTTCTCCCGTCCCCGCCGCTCAGCCGTGCTGGGTCTCAGCATGTTTGCAAAAGCTGAGAGGTTTTGCGGGCGGGGAGCACACACTGCTTTGCATGTATGAGGAACACATTTATGCCAAGTTTTGGAAAAACCTCATCCTCACAATTAGCTTTTTCTATTATCCTGGGGAAGGTAATGAATGAAGAAAGGGAAACCCAAGTACATGGCCATTCCTTTCCAGCTTTGGCTCTGGGGACACAGGCCCCCTGGGTGACATGGTAGGAGATACATGGGGGAAACACTTGGTTGTCTACCCCCCTAGCAAACCCCACTACCTTGTGGGATGGAGGGGCCACCAGAGTATAGCATCAGATCCCAACACACATTCTGGTGCCCCTTGCTCAATCCTCTGCTATTCCTCTGGTGGCACAGGGGTGAGGGAGCTGCCCAAGAAATAAAGCATTGAGTTTAATAGAAATGCCATAATTTATTCTGTTGTATAAAAAAGTCATCCTTATGTAACAAAATGTCTTCTCAGAAGAAGAAATATATTATTTCGGGTCATAAATAATCAGCAAACATACAACTGTTGGCAACTAAAAAAAAAAACCAACACCGGTGCTTTCCATCAGTGCTGAAAACAAATCTGCTTAGGATATATTTACAGAGTATTACAGTACTCAAAACACAAAAGTTGAGGTATTTGGTTCTTCTAGGAGTCGACGCCGACGTTTGTGAAGGTAAACCTACACAAAAATAAATAAGGTACATTTTCATATGTATGTGTCGTCAGGAATGGTAATAATACTGGTAGGTATGTCAAGCATGAAGAGTTTCTACAAAAAAAACAAAAAACAAAAAAAAACGGGGGCAAGCAAAAAGAAACGGGCTCACACAGAGTCCCTTCTTTTCTGCCCCTTTCTGTCAGGGGGACTTGATGTACCCATTACATATTGGTCCCGAATGTGCTGAATTCAGCAAACACCTTGACGCTGAGTCATCACTGCGAGTGCCTGGGAACCCAGTGGAACTCAGGTGAGATTCAATAAATAAGGACCAGCCCTCGCGAACCCCCTCCCTGGAGTTATTGCATTTCTCCCCTCGGGAAGGGGCCTGGAGTCCTGGTGGGTGGGGAAGGTCGCCCTCCGTGGCCTTTCAGCAGCTGGGAGAGGTCGTAATGGGGCTCTGAAGGTAGCTCAACGCACTGTTCGTGGAGTGGACGGGGATGGAGACGGGGAAGTTGAAGACGGTGGTGGTGGAGGTGCCGCGGTCCAGCACGGACATGGCGGGGCTCCCCGCCTCTGCCGAGCAGTGTGGGGCCAGGACCTGGGACTCAAACTGCAGCAGCTGGCCCATGAAGCTGAAGTTCGGGGAGATGATGCTTCTCCTCTGCTTCACGAATTCAAAGGCCTCGTCCAGCTTGACTCGGTTAGTCCGCATGAGGTAAGCGAGGCAGATGGTGGCCGAGCGGGAAATGCCCGCCTGGCAGTGGACGAATACCCTTCCTCCGGCATTCTTGATGGAGTCTGGAAAACAAAGGGCAGCTGGTTACTGAGAGCTCAGAACGGCCCCAACCCCAGGCATACAGTGTCTAAGAAATGTCATGTGTGGCCGGTGCAGAGACGGCCAATGTCACTTCGTGCCATCACACGGACACTGTTCACGGAGGCAGTGTGGGCGTCATGCAAAGAACGGAGGGCTTTTAAACCCAGACCGGGTATCCAGTAAAAAGATGGACGTTGGGCAAATTGATTCGACTTCCTGAACATCAGTTTACTAATCTGTAAAGCAGGACATCGAATTTACAGTTTGCAGGGATGTTGCCCAAACCAGACTGATATTTAACGTCTGGAACAAGGCTCAGAAGAATGTCATTCGAATTCTTGCCAGAGTTTGGGCTCAGTGGCTAAGATGGGGGAGGGAGGCAGAAGTTCCAGGCGTCCGTTCTATTTACCTATAAAGTCGATTGCCTCGTTGAACCAGGAGCTGATGTCCGCCTTGTGATTGTCCTCCACGGGGATGCTCTTGTACTGGTAATGACCCTCAAAATGGTTGGGACAATTGGCTGAGACGTTGATCAAGGCAGTGATGCCCAAGGCATCCAGCATGTCCTTGCGGGAAGCATGATAGGCGCTGCCCAGGTACAGAAAGGGCAGGATCTCCACTGGACCACCCTGAAATTCGGAAATATCGAGCACTTGTCAAGCTTTGCTCAGAGTCCATGCTGGTGCCCACACCTACAAAAACTCTGCTGGAGAAGTCAGCTGCAGATACCAGGTCAACTTCTCAGCACTGTTGTAGTATAATAGGGGACTAAACCCATTTGCCTGCACAGGGCCAATGGTCATTTCTGTGGTGCCAGCAGTTAAAGAATCAGCTCCGTCAGACCGCTAAACCATGGGATGAATAATATCCCCGTGTTCCCTCCCTTATAAATAAAGCTGCAGGTCACTTTCTATATTCTCACTAGCGCTTTCTCCCAGGCCTTTACCAGCTGTTCCTTCTCCCCTCTGGTACGGCTCCCTACTAACCTGATCGTAGAGCGGGGTGCTGCAGGAACTGCACCCCGATTCGGCGCTGTCAGGGACGCTAGTACTCAGAGGAAGGCTGAGCCCCATGGGGGTCGACTGTTTGCTGCACAGCTCCGGGCAGGAAGCTGAAAAAGCTTCATATCCTCCTGGGAATAACAAAGAGATTTTTTTTTTCCATTAGTACCGCTGGGACAGGGCACCTTCAACGCAGCTCCCCCACCCACCAGGGCTGGAAGTTTCACCAGGGAGTCTTTGTTCCCGGAGCCAAACAAACAAAGCCAATGACAAGTCCCCGGAATACGACTCCGGCGCCCCGGCGCTCCAGGTGGGGCAGGGACTGAGAGCCAGGCGTGCCCCCGGCAAGGCGCTGGGGGGCGTGCGGCCCGCCCGGAGCTTCCCCAAGGGCGTACCTTTGAGGAAGA